ATATTTACATGTATCTGTATTATACGTATAATATTTACACAAACACTCACACAACACACACACACACACACAACACACACAACACACACACCACACACACACAACACACACACACACACACACACACACGCACGCACGCACACACACACCACACACACACACACACACACACACACCACACACACACACACACACACACACACACACACACACACACACACACACACGCACACACAACCACACACACACACACACACACACACACACACACACACCACACACACACACACACACACATATATATTGTATATATACGTATATATGTGTATGTATGTGTGTATATATGTATAAATATATATATATATTATATATATATATATATATATATATATATATATTATGTATGTATGTATGTATGTATGTATGTATGTATACACCACATATTGGAACAAAGGACAAAAAATGAAAAATGGAAACCGCCATAGACAGAACTGCGATGTTCACGCCGAGAGAACAGTAATGAGGCCCTTGAAGCCAGTTGCAGTTCTATTTGGTTCAACGTTATTGATTCCAGTATTATTGCTATGGACACTGCTGCACACATTCAAGTGTACATACACGCAAACGAACGTGATGCACTCACACTAAGTATATGTTTATAACGCGCACGCACACGCATACTACACACACACGCCCACACACGCGCCCACACACACGCCGCCCACATTACACACGCCCACACACACACGCTCACACACACCACGCCCACACACAACCACGCCCACACACACACGCCGCACACACACAACACGCACACACACACACACACACACACCACACACACACACACACACACACACACACACACACACACACACACACACACACCACACAAGTGTCAAATGTAACAGACGTTCATAAGTTATAATTCAGTATATTTTTCGTGTGTTTTTTACGCTAATAAACCATAATATGACAGGTAAAATTCGTCATTTCCGCGTTAAAAAAATTATACTGGTTAATTCTATTACAATCTAATGTTGTACTGTTGGATGGCGTTCTAAAAATGAGATGGATCGGGCGGAATTTAATATGAATATTTGGGTAATGTTTAGGATCGGAGTAAACTGTCCGATAAAAAAGAAAAAATGAAAGCTATAAATTGGTTGCGTTTTTTTTTTTTTTTTTTCTTTTTTTATCGGTGCCGGAATATGCGAATTACCAAATGGGCGCGTATTACCGACATTAACAATCTGTGAAGTTTTAGCGGAAGTGGATGAGAGACAGAGAGAGAGAGAGAGAGAATGAAAAATTCGTGAGTGAGTGTGAAGATAGTGAAAAAGCATCGCTAATGATAACGTAATGAAGCGCCGAATTTAGAGAAGTCATGCAAGTATGCCCACACAAGATGCATTACATGAATTCGCCTGTGGGATCGAAAACTGGTCGCCTGTACTGGGCTGTACTGAGATAAGTGTTCGTCTTTGAGTTTGTGTGTAGATAGATACATAGTTTTTTTTTTATCAAACACGTTTTATACGCCTATCTGACTGGTCAATTCATCACATTTGTTGTACTTGTATTGTCCTCATCACTCACTCGACCTCGGTAATTCTACCTTTGCGGCTGCTCTAACCTGCAATCTGCCTTGTCTGCAGTTTCCTTATATATATATATATATATATATATATATATATATATATATATATATATAATATATATATGTGTGTGTTGTGTGTGTGTGTGTGTGTGTGTGTATGTGTATGTGTATTGTGTGTGTATATGTTATATAGATAGATATATGTCTGTGTATGTGCTTATATATAATATATATATATATATATATATATATATTATATATATAATATGTGGTGTGTGTGTGTGTGTGTGTGTGTGTGTGTGTGTGTGTGTGTGTGTGTGTGTGTGTATTGTGTTTGTGAATGTACCTGTAGAGAGAGAGGGAGATATTCTCTTCTTAATTTCTTCATTTACCGTTGGCATTATCGCTTTTTGTTGTATCATACTAGAAAGCAGAGGACATACATATATACACAAGCGCTCACACACTTGTGCACCTGAGTCTTTATTTTTCCCACTTTATGTGAGTTTTGGAAGTATTTTGTCATCTTAATACTTGCATGAAATATGTTAAAAGAAATTACAGACTGCTTAAAAGTATAATTGAACATTTTATGGTTTGTGTGGTATATGTTTATAATATCGTTTATATTGTTATTGCTATATTAGCATTAGCAATGATGCAGGTACTACGTTTTGGTATAGTTATTAATTATATGAATTCTAGTTCTTCTCGTTTTGAATTGTAGTGTTGGTTGTAGGCAGCACTTCTGTTACTATTGCAGCCATTAATGCTACGATCTTTGCTATAGGGATTTTCGATTTTTTAAATGATGATTTTAAAAGTAGTCGTAGGAGTAGCTCCAGTAGCACTAACAGTAACAACTTGTGGTCTTCATCGTCGATGTAATAATGATAGTTGTAATAGCAGTAGAAGTATTAAGGGCAGTAGTAGTATTTG